GAACTCTTTAAAAAGTCGACACTTCCTAGTTCCAGTGAGTTCAAAAGTTCTGAGAGAAGAACAGAAGTTCTGGGAGCAGAACCGAACGAAAGTTCTGAAGTGCTGGAGTTAGTTGGGAGTTCTTCCGAGTCTCGTGGGGATTATGGAATCTTCCACATCTGAGTGGAACTCTGACGGGCTCACAGCTCATGTGAGTCCACCCGGGAGGTGAGCGTGCTGTTGAACGAAGTACCGTCACTACTTCGGACGTTTCTCTGCTATCCTACGGAGACGCTGAAATGGTAACGTTGAAAGAGAACTCTACACCAAAGCTGAGATATCTTCTGCAAGGTAAAGAGTCGATTTCCACTACCGAAGTGTACCGAGGTAGAGCTGGGTTCGGATGGAGGGTGTCGTTCTTCATCAACACATTTTCCCTCACACATCTTTTCTCTCCATTTAAACTCCTTCATTCCCCATCTTTAAAACTCTTCTATCTGCCAGTAAAAGATAAGCTAAGCCTGCAGACACTTATTTAAGACCTAAGGATATGTCTGTTGTTTTAAGTTGCAAGTGAGAAATCATGGCCGTATGATTTCTCATTGTAAAGCTCATTAATTAAGCTGTGTCTATTGCGTTCAATCAGAATAATCAAGTGTACAATGTTGATGTTAAATTTTGATTCTGTTAATAAATGACCACATTCATTTTGATGGGTCAAAGAAAATTAACGTCTCATGTCACTGGTTTTTAGACCGTCTCCCACACAGTATCTCTGTCACATATCTGTCAAGTAGCTCGAAAAAGAGAGAACCCGTCGTTAAATATTGATTGTAGTGAAGCTAACCGACCCTAGCTTACTACACCTGGTTACCTCCAACTCAAACACAGAGCAGAAACTGTGCAGCTGCTGAGTCTCCTGCTTCAGCAGAAAAGTGTTGCTCACTCGCCAGTTTAGCAGCTTAGTGTGGGCAGTTGTTGACCGGGGGTGTTGATCATAAACATATATTCATGTTAGGAGGATGCTTGAGTGCAGCGCTACGTCTGTAGCATGTTCTCTTAGCAGTAAGTGTGACGCTGTAAGACGCTGCAGGTGGAAGAGACGCTGTGTGTTCAGGTGCATTAAAGTTGAAATGTCTTTAAAACCCCACACCTTATTGTCCTCAAGCTTCATGACAAACATCATTTAGATGAGGAGTGTTGAACACAAGTAACAAAGTCCAGTGGTGATGTTTTTTTATTTCTCTATAAACACAAATAGTGTCGACCTGACGCTCTGTGTTAAAGAGTATTAAAGTTAAAATGTCTTTAAAACCCACAGCTGAATTTACACAAACTTGGTGAGAAACATGTTTTAAAAGTGTGGAATTAAAGGAAATCTAGGTGAACTGTTGCTTTTTTTTTTTTGTACATTAGTGTACACTTCTTTGCGCGCACGCGCACACACCTACACACATCATTGTGTCCCCCCCACATTACGGATGCTTCTGACTCCCTTGGTCCAGAGCGTCACCAGCTGAGGTGTCACAGTGATATGGTTCAAGCATGACTCCACAAACAACAAGAAAGACATATTTGTTCATAACTTTATTATTAGTCAGCCTGAGAATACCCTGATGCTGCTCAATAATCCAGGTAGAAAAATATAAAAAAGTTAAATCTGGTCCTCTGGACATTCAAAAAACAAAACAAAGAAAAAAATGTAGAAACGTTTCATTTGACAAAATTAACTTAACATGTTGCTTTGCAGTATTATATAAAAACTAAAAGAACAAGGGTTATTTTACTGAAATTACTTTATTTAGTAAAGTATTCAGTCTCCAAGTCTAAAAATAATAAATAAAAATGATCCTTCTGTTATTTAGATTGAAAAAGTCTGCACAAACAGATCAATAAATCCACCTCAAAAACTAAAGTGCAGGTGAAGTTTCCCAAAATAACTAAATAAAATGAAGCTTAAGATCGTTGATTGTTGATCATAAATGTAACATACAAGAAATCTATGTTGTCTTTAAATGAGCTATAACTTCCAAAAGTTGACAAGGTGTCTTCAGTTGACCCTGAAGCTTGTTGGTGTTTCAGCTTCCTCTGTTCCTGCAGGAATGATTCATTTTTCCTTGATCACCTGACTCTTCTTGGTCCATGGACTGTGGAACTCAAGAAGCAGTTGAGCTGCGCGTGTTTGTACCGGTCCCACAGAGAAGAAGGGACCAAAAAAGGTGCCGGTTCCACGAAAAAGTGCTTGTGGAAAAGGGCTCAGAAGAGTACCGAACCGAGTCGAGTCATGCTGAAGAGGAGCTATGGAAAAGGGGCTTAAGTCTAGTTAAAAGAAAACCTCTGCATGCTTGGGTTGTGAGACAGAGAGAAACAGTATGCAATATCTGTGAACTGTTTTAACAATTTTTCTGTTTAAAACTAAATACAAAAAAATCTTATGCCAAAAATGTTTAGGCGGTAGGTGTTAAAATGCCTTCAGACTGAATGGATGTCACATAGAGCCTCTTAGCTTGACTGTAAAAGGGTTTTGGCACAAGAAAAGACTGAGCTCAGTTGAATTTTATTCTTCTTAGCTATAAATGTGTCACATACACATTTAAGATGCAGGATGTAGGTGAATTAGAAGTTTAATGATTATTAACATAAATCATAATGACAGAAATATGTGTTACCTCTGACCAAGTACTTGCGAAGGGCCTGAGTGATCTGGACAACAGTTGTGCTCTGAATGTTGCAGTCAAGTTGCTGGAGAAGCACACGATTCCCATAATGCAACAGTCCACCCATAAAGATGGGGTAAAGCTCAAAAGGCTTGCTGTCATCATATTGCTGCGGCTGTGGGCCATGGACTCCCAAAAGGCTTTGCTCCACTTGATCCAGGACATCCTCATTATAGCTGTCCTCCGAGCGGAACATTTCAGCTGTCATGGTTCTGGCAATTTTCCCTTTGTTCTGATTTCGTATTTTCTCGTAAAGCTTTGGAAAAAGCTTCAGTAGGTTGAAAACAGCAAAGAGCCGGAAAGGGATTAATTTAGAAAAGATGCTAACAATGGCACCGACGTCTTCACTGGCCTGACCAATGACCACCGACAGTTGACTGGTTAGCTTCTCCAAAGCTGATTTGTTTTCTCCTAAAACTACATAGAGAGCTGCGAGGTACTCTTGCATGGCTGGGACAGCAAAAACGTAGCGCCTCTCATCATTCTCACTTATCTCTTTTGGTAAATACCGTTTACTCTTGACACAAGGAGCCAAAAAGAAGTCCAGTACATCTGTCTGGAACATGGCCTGCTGATGAAGCTCCTCATCTGTCTTGGTCTTCCCACCTATCCACTGCTCCAACTCCCTTTCTGAGAAGGATGTGCGTTTGTGCATCACACCGTCAAATGCAAGTTTACCAACGGTACGGACAACGTACATCATCAGAGAAGTCTGGTTATCCTGCATGGATGCACCAGTCCCTGTTTTTGTGCCCAGCACCTCACCTCCAAAATTCAACCTTAAAAAACTGGTATATATGCCTGTTAGTGTGCGGATAGGCGCCTGAGCACTGGTGAAATGAAGAAAGTGAAGAGTAGCACATGTGAGCCAGCAGTAAGATGGGAGGAAACAAGCAGCAGCCAGTTGGCTTTCTCTCTGCAGGTTGAGGTAAAGTAGCTCTATCATTGCTTGGGCTTCTTGGTTGTGTGCATCCTCTCCACTCTGCTGCAGTAGGCGGCTGGTGAAGTATGCACGCTGACGGTCTGGATCATTGAAGCCACAAATCTGAATGTAACGACTCACATACTTGTGAGGGATCCAGTCCAGAGCCGACAGTCTGGTGGTAACCAAGATACTGGCCTGGAAAACAGAGCAGATAACGCCATAAACATAAATAACTGATAACAACACAACTTAAAAAATATATAAAAATAATTAATAATTAATGACAAAAATAATCCACATTTTGAGGTACTCGTTGTAATGTTTGAAATCATAAATGACTTGTACATATTTGCCTGATTATGTAATAAAAAGGAGGAGTGAAATTCTAAGCATATACTTTGGTTTATATCTACAG